TTAAGTATGATACATGCATCTATCTACAGTTTGGTGAGCGCCAAACATACCGCCCACCAAAATACAACGAGTTGTATTTTACTGTCAATTTGAATCGGTCGCCTGTGGAGCAGGGCCCATCGGCAGGGGGCACAGCTTCACTAGGGGACGCGTGATCGTGCCGTCCGCCACCCGCACCGTGGCGACACGCGGGACGCCGTCGCTGCCCGGATGCAGCGCCTCCACTCGTCCTCGCCTCCAACGCAGAGGAGGCATGTTGGCGTCCTTGAGGAGGACTAACGCACCGACACCGAGCGGGTTGACTGAGGTCCACCATTTGGGACGCTGTTGCAGCGTATGGAGATACTCCTGATGCCAGCGCTTCCAGAAGTCCTGGTGTATTCGTTGGACGAGTTGCCACCGACTCAGCCGATTCATCGGTAACGGGGTCACGTCTTGAGTGGGAACGGAGACGAGCGGTTCCATCGTGAGGAAGTGTCCCGGCGATAGGACTTCGAGGTCGGCAGGGTCGGTGCTCATCGGGCAGAGGGGTCTGGAATTCAAGACGGCCTCGACCTGCGCGAGGACCGTCGTGAATTCCTCTATTGAGAGGACTTGATCACCCACGGTCCGCCGCAGGTGGGTTTTAAAGGTCTTGACTCCCGCCTCCCAGAGGCCCCCGAATTGGGGCGCGGAGGGAGGATTAAAGGACCACTTGATCTTCTCTCGCTCCGCTGCGAGGCTCATGCGGCTTTCTAGTTCCCGTGCGGCCCCTACAAAATTCGTTCCGCAGTCGCTGTAGAGAAGCGAGCAGCGTCCGCGTCGGGCCACAAAGCGTCGCAGCGCAGCGAGGAAGGAGTCGGTGGACAACGAGAAGGCGACTTCCAGGTGCACCGCCTTAACCGAAAATTATACGAAAAGGCACGCGTACACTTTGACGGAGGAGACCCCCCGGGCTCGTCGCGTAACTATGTTGAACGGTCCCGCGAAATCAACGCCGCTGATCGAAAATGGCTTGGCCCGTCGGACCCTATCGGCCGGTAGTTCCGCCATGAGGGGCTGAGAGGTGTGTGGATTTACGCGGAAACATTGATGACATCTCGAGAGTACGCGTTGTATAGCGCGATGCACCCCGAGGACCCAATAATGTTGCGTGAGCAGGTATTGCAGCGTGCGCCGACCAGGGTGCATGTTCGTGCGGTGCACGTGTTCGATAACGAGATCCGTGAGCCTATGTTTACAGGGCAGTAAGGCAGGGTGCTTGTTCTCGAATGTCAATCCGGATTTTGCAAGCCTGCCGCCCACCCTGAGAATACCCACCGGATCAAGGAAGGGAGCGAGCTTGCGAAAGGGCTTGGGGAGCCTTCTCCCGCTTTGAAGACGATCGATCTCATCGCGGAAAGCATCCGCCTGTACACTCTTCACAACGAGTAGTAACGCGGAATGCAGTTCGAGCTGATCTATGGCCAAAGTCGTAGGAGCAGATTTTGCACGGAAGTGATGTACAAACCTGAGAATGTATGCTATAATTCGGCCAATTTTCTCGATTGAAGAGAATCTTTCGAGCAATGAATGTACCGCGTCAGGCGGATCGAGCGCCACGAGCGATACGATTTTCTCCTCCTCGATCGGAGGGGTTTCCGAACCGTGGGAAGGCTCAACTCGGGGTTCGAAGCGAACAAGCCACTCAGGGCCCGCCCACCACATCGAACTAGCCACCAGATCGCGAGGATAAAGCCCGCGGGAGCAGTGATCCGCCGGATTGGACTTCGTGTCGACGTGACCCCAAGCTGATACCGGCACGTTGTCCTGAATGAGGGCAACGCGATTTCTAACAAAGGTCTTCCACCGTTGTGGTGCTGGGCGGATCCAGGCCCGGGCGACCTCGGAATCCGTCCAAGCATACTCGTCGTCAATGTCAAGGTGTCCGCGGAGGGTGCGCCGGACGTACGCGATTAATTCAGACAAGAGCAGAGCCGCGCAGAGCTCCAGACGGGGAATGGTGAGGGGGCGAAGCGGGGCGACCTTAGACTTGGCGCACAGTAATCGGACCCCGACGCCGTCGCGCGTAACGATTCGCAGATAAATCACGGCTCCGTACCCCAGCTCGCTGGCATCGCAGAACCCGTGGAGTTCGCAGCGATCTACATGGCACGAGTTAAACGCGCGAGGAACGCGAAGGGAAGATAACACGCCGAGCTCCGTCTGGAAACGACTCCAACTGCGACGAATGTCCATCGGAGGCTCATCATCCCAATCTAACTTGAGGGTCCACAGACGCTGAATCAAGCACTTCGCGGTAAAGGTGAGTGGGGCCAGAAAACCCAGGGGGTCGAATATGCGCGCTACTTCCGACAGTATAGTGCGTTTGGTGCACTCACGATCCAACGCGTTGACTTGAAACCCGAAACTGTCAGACTGTGAGTGCCACCGAAGGCCCAATATCTTCTGAGATTGATCCTCGCTTGACTCGAAATCTAACATCGATTGGCTACATAACTGCGGGTCGAGGCCCTCCAGCGCGGCAGGATGGCTGCTCGACCACTTTCTAAGCTCGAAGCCGGCGCTTCGGAGAAGCGATAGCAATTGGTCGCGGAGTGCACGAGCCTGTTCCACCGTCCGAACGCTTGTCACGACGTCATCCACATACAGCGCCTCGAGTAGAGCTGCGAACGCTAAAGGATATTTCTCGCGGTATTGATGAGCTAACTGGAGCAAACAATAGATCGCCAAGAACGGGGAGGCGCTAAAGCCGAATGTAACTGTTTTGAGGAGATAGTCGAGGATGGGGTCCGACTCCGAGAAGCGCCAGACGATACGTTGGTAGTTGCATTGCTCCGGGCTTATCCAAATCTGGCGAAACATCTGCTTCACGTCCGCGGTTAGAGCGATCGCTTCGGCGCGGAACCGAAGCAGGATGGCGAGCAGGTCCTGCTGCAGCTTCGGACCGCTGAGCAGGGTGTCGTTGATCGACAGACCGTCCGGGCCTCGCGAGGACGCGTTGAACACTACCCGCAACTTAGTGGTAGTGCTATCGAGTTTATACACACCGTGGTGCGGTAGATAATAAATGTGGCCATCCGACGGGAATGGATTGCGAATTACCTCCATGTGTCCGCTATCGAGATAGTCCCGCATGAAACTATTGTAACCAGCTCTGAACTCCGGATCAGATTTAAATCGACGTTCTAGTGCGCGGAGACGACTAACCGCAATGGAGCGCGAGCCGACGAATGTAGGAGGATCCGACACGAACGGGTACGAGACCACGAAACGACCCGAGGGGTCACGATACGTGGTCTTGGCGAAGATTTCTTTGCAGCGTCGATCCTCGTCCGAACAAGAAGCGTTCTCCGGCACCTCCTCCAATTGCCAAAAGCGACCCACCGATGTCGCAATCGACTCGAGCGTAGTCGCGAATGACCTCAGGGGCGCTGCCTGGACTGATGGGGATACCGCGCCCGTCAGAACCCATCCGAAGACTGAATTGAAGGCGTCGGGTTCTCCCCTTTTCCCCTTACGACGGCCCTCCCGTAGCACCGACACAAACGAGTCCGCCCCCAGGAGGATGTCAACACCGCCGGGCACGAAATATTCGGGATCCGCGAGCGGCAATCCCTTCAAGTGTATCCACGGCTGGACCTCCACCTTGTCATTAGGCAGCGGCGAGGTTATGCGCGAGAGGACCGTAGCCTCTATCGAGAACCGAGTGTCGTCGCGACCGCGCGCGCGGATCACGAGGGAGGTGAGGCCCCTCGTCGTGGCCGCCCTGGCTTCGTTTATCGCCAACACGGTTGCACTGTGTTTGGTGCGACGAAAGCCGCCCTTCCGGAGGCAGCCCTCGGTAATAAAGTTGGCCTGACTCGCGCTGTCCAGCAATATGCGTACGGGGAACGCATTGCCACGCGCGTCTATCGCCTCGGCTCGTACGGTGGACAGGAGGACGATTCTATTGGCCCGGCTAGTCATTGTTACAATCGGCGCATCCTCCGACTGAGGAGCGGGTACGGCGTCCGGTTCGGCAGGAGTCGCGCTAATGGGTTCGGGCTTAGGAGTAGTATTAGAGCTCTGCTCATAATGCAGAAGCGTATGATGCTTTGTGCCGCAGGACCGACATGCCCACGCGGACGGACAGTCTTTCATGCCATGCCCCGAGCGCAGGCAGTTGAGGCACAATCTCAAGTCTCGAGCCTTAGCCTGCCTCTCCCTCGGCGAGAGTTTTAAAAACTGGGAGCACTTCGACACGTAGTGAGACTCCTTACAAACGGGCCCGAGTCGAAATTTTACTCCTTCTTTCGACCTCTTATTTTCACATCTCAGGATTCTGGAGGATTTTGATAGGTTCTAATTGTATTGTACTTAGCTCCTACTTTGTGCCTGAAAACGGCAGAAAACGGACTGTTTCCCATTTTGAGGTTTAAAAGAGGAGTTATCGGTAAAACCCTCCTAAACCTCCTAAAACCCTCTAGATCCTACATTGATAGAAAAATGTACTAAATTTTAATTAATGTTTTCTCCAATAATCCTTAAAAGTATTTTTTTAATTCAGTTAATATTTTTCGAATGAAAAAATTATTCATCTAATTGAAACAAATTTTCTAAACCTAATAAAATATTTACTGAATTCAA